AATTCCGCATGGTATGGATTGTGCTGGTAATCCCCGAAAATAAATTTTCCTTTTAGTAGTATTATCCTGGTGGTGTCAAGTCAATGGGTAAACAGAGATTGCAGAGGCCGAAGTATTCGAGATGCAAATTGTGACAAACACAAATTGATTTTATGTGCTTTTTTAAAAAAGCCGCAAATCGACGTACTACAACAACTTCAATATGGGGCATACAAAGTTCAGCATCAAAACCATTGAATAAGAAACAACAAATCTAGGCCTACGTAAAGTGCAGGTACAGTATGGTGCCCATAATTGGTCGGCTGTTCTGTAAATTGATGGAAGTCAAGAACGCGAATAAGAAGATGTAGAGATCGAGAATTAGTCGCTCAAGCGAGCGTGCGTAGCCCATGTCATGTGCCTCAGCCTGTCAGCTAAACCACACTGAAACTGTATCCTTACCAGAAGATCATTTGCGCTACCGGATCTGTTGACTAGGTCAAGCCCGTTCACTAACACCAACAGCCCAGGTCTTGCACATTGCCTCATTCTCCAATTCACTCCTTCGAGCCCAGCCACTCGAACCAACTTCCCCAAGAGCAAGCTCTCTATTAGTAATAGAGAGCAGGGCCCCCGAAAAAAAAATTGACGACACAGTAATTTCAATAAATAAGCAGACATTATTTATGTTGTCACCCTAAACTAGGCTCGTGCATAATTTATGGTGGCTGCATATTACATACGGTAATTTATGCTACAGTTTCCTGAAGTTATCTGCAGCAGTCAACGAACCAGTCGTTTTGTTGCCGAATCGGCTGATCTTGTTGAAGGAATGATTTGCGCAGAGTTGTTAGGGCAGTACAGAACTGAATGAGGACAAAGGTAGAGAGGATTAGGCGGCCATAGTGAAGAGGAAGTCTTGAATGTAGAAGGAGAAGACGCTTGTGGTGGACTTGGTAAAAGAGGAAGAGCATGTGGTGGACTCGGTAAGAGAAGAAGTAAGATTAATGTTTAAGAAAGTAGCGGGCTACTAACAAGAAATTAGTATGCGGCATTCAGAAACATAGTCTAGAATTGCCGCTACCATTCATAGTACTAAAATGTTCCAGACATTTTAGTACATTATTTATTAGAGTCAAAAATACCGTGTCTCTTCATTATTAGTTTATAGAGAGCACGATGGAGAGGCGGTCCCTGTGACGGGCCCTAACCTCAACAGCCTCCCTGGATCGACATCAGGGAACGTCATTGGATAATATAATACACGTGTTTTGATTGGTCTACGAAAACCCTGTTAAAAATGTTCAGTCAATTTACAAAATGGCTACACGAATTCGTGTTTTATGCGTTTCTGAAGCTCCTAGAGGCCCTACAGCCAAACGGAGACCGGATTTGGACTCTACTCGCCAGGGCAGTTTTCTGGGGAGGTGGAGTCCAAATCGCCATTTGGCCACTTGTGCACCAGGTGGCATACTGAAAAATGACTCGAAAGTTCAAAACGAATTAGTTTTGACAGTGATAGGTTTTGAGAGTACACTTGTATTGAAGTTAATAGCAGTTACAACAAGTGGCCATCTTATCGGTCGTGTATGTTAACTTAGAGAAGCTCAATGCCATCAGAATCGGCCCACATGACGGACAGCCTTGAATTTAGTAGAGACGACAAACGCAGATGATGCTGGGACGGCATAAGGTCTTATTCTATGGTCCGGCGCGCGGTATAGGATCAATCAGCAGCTCGGGGGCTCATCGAGCTGATCTCGTAGTCTCACATCACAATTTACACTCTACTGTCACCGCACCAGCCACACGCACGTCAAGGACACGCACGTCAAGGCCACGACACCAACAAATTTCGGTGCTTCAACAGCCAGCTTTGGGTATTGCAACGCTTCATTCTCGCTCAGTCGGCGTCATTCAGGATACTTGTGGAGACCAGGCAGATTGGCTCGAGGCTCAGTTATTTAACGCCAGCTTTGAGGGTCATGTCTCGGTCGGCGCAGGTGGCCCGGATGGACCCTACTATCGCCGTGCATCTCATTACAATGGCTGCCCCAAAGCAGTTACCTTCGATTACAATTTCTCTATATGAAATAGTACAGTTATATTATACTAGATAGTCATCATCACATCGGAGATGCTTACTTCGACAGCCTCCCACATCGAGGAATGTGTATGATGCTCTATCTGTCGGATAGTTACCACAGGTGGCTGTTATAACAGTCCTGTACGTACATGAGCATTTACAAGAAGTAGATCTTGTTTTGATATTGATGATCTTTTTCCTTTGACTTTCATTGTCAGATTTGTCGCCTTGTGCTGTTTTGCTTTGGCAATAACTGTGCTGATTTCTTGTTTTCATTGTTATTTTGGCTACTCAGGAAAACCTTAGAGGATTAAACCTGTTCACCGTAGTGATTGTTGTTGCTATCGTTTTAGTTATACGAATTTGTAGCAGCTACTTCAGGGAAACCTTTAATTTTAAGGATCAAAACCTGTTCGCTGAATTGTTGCTGTTATCGTTTTAGCTTTACGAATTTGTAGAAGCTACCTCAGGAAAACCTTTAATTTTAAGGATCAAAACCTGTTCGCTCTGTTGTTGGCTACTCAGGAAACCTTCGAGGATACACCTGATCACCGTATTTATCTTTATATATTTTGTGTATGCGTTTTAGCTTTGTTCATTTCTTAAACTGCCATTGTTTTGCTCTTTAATATGTGGATATTTCTATACAATGTGTGGTTTGTTTTTTGTTTTTCCGCTGCTGAGGTCTTATAGAATTGCCTCCCAATTTCATGAAATGGTTGATATAGGTGCTGCAGTCATTTTCAATTTGTTCTGACTATTATTATTGAGAGCTTATAGTTTTCAAATATTTTTGAAGAAAGGCTACAGCTTTCAAAGCATAAAAACATCTAACAGTGTCATCGGTAGTGTACGCATCTTGTTTGCAGGCTCTCATCGTTGGGGCTATTTTTCTCCCTAGAGGCTCATGGAGTTGTTTCTCATTTCGAAGATTTTTATTTTGTTTATACTTCGCAAGTGCAAGCAATAGGTTTGTAAACTATCGATTCCATTGAAAATGAAACTAATGCAGTAAAACTATAGTTGCTTTCTGTAGACAGAGGCTTGTGTAGGCTTGTCTTAAAGTCATAAAGTATTGAAGATTTTTTCTTTATGCTGGAAATGTTTGAAACTTTTGCCGCAATAATTTTTTTTTTAAGTTTGGCGAATTGAATGAATTGTTTTGGCGTTGTTGCCTCCCAGTTTCATACATTTCTGGGCGTATTTCTTAACTTGGTTAAATACCAGACACATGTTTGTATGGACAATTGCCCATTTTTATTTTATCTCTTTCTTGTTTTTTTTAAGGTATATTTTTATTTTACAGGTCCAAAATGTAGTGGATTACCTGTTCTCAACAAGCCGTAGATCTGCATTTAGTAGACTGCTGCAGCTTTGCATTAAGCGAGGTTTTAGCTGTGCCATTCCTCCTTGTAGCTCGAGATGCACATATTTAAAATGGTATTTCATTAAGTACACATATACTAGTAGTAAATACACAGCTTGTAGCTGGAATAATTTTTGCACAGCTTTATAGCTCGCAAGTGGGGCATTTGGCCTCCCAGTATGGCGTGACACTACAGCAATGCTGCTGGTGCGTGAGGGCGGTATTTAGTTCTTCGCCTTAAATATGTACTACATGTACTTGTACATCATCAAATGCATGTACGTGTATGTGTACGTGTACGTGTACGTGTATGTGTACGTGTACGCGTACATGTACGTAGAGCACAAGGCACTGTGGCCTTCTAGTACGGCTTTTCAACCAGACAGCGCTATGGCTGGTCTGGCATCATGGCCTCACAACTCGGCAATGGCCGGTGTGACACGGAATGTATGTGTCTCGTGCGGCGCTACAGCTCCATGGCTGGCGCGGGGGTTTCATGACCTCCCAGCATGGCGAATAACTACGCATGCTGTGCTACAGCACAGTGGCTGGAGCCAAGTTGGCAACGTGGCCTCACGCGAGTTGGTGTCCGTCGGGCGATTTTCTCTCCGATCTCCTTCATGAGCCTTGGGGCTTGGAGGCGCATCGTCTTACCGCTTTCAGCTCGTCAGTACCCTGGCGAAGCGTTGGGCTGATAACCTGTTGAAGGAATGATTTGCGCAGAGTTGTTAGGGCAGTACAGAACTGAATGAGGACAAAGGTAGAGAGGATTAGGCGGCCATAGTGAAGAGGAAGTCTTGAATGTAGAAGGAGAAGACGCTTGTGGTGGACTTGGTAAAAGAGGAAGAGCATGTGGTGGACTCGGTAAGAGAAGAAGTAAGATTAATGTTTAAGAAAGTAGCGGGCTACTAACAAGAAATTAGTATGCGGCATTCAGAAACATAGTCTAGAATTGCCGCTACCATTCATAGTACTAAAATGTTCCAGACATTTTAGTACATTATTTATTAGAGTCAAAAATACCGTGTCTCTTCATTATTAGTTTATAGAGAGCACGATGGAGAGGCGGTCCCTGTGACGGGCCCTAACCTCAACAGATCTCAGCAGACTCAATTTCTTTTCTCTCACTTCCCACTTTAGAAATGATTCTCTTCCTGCGCGAAAATGCTGGTTACTGGGACGCACAAACACTTGACACAGCAACTCGAGCGTAGATACCTGTTATTGATTCAATAAACCTTGGTTATTGCAGCAGTAACTCAATTATTTATTGGTCTTCTAGCTAAAGCATCATAACGTATTGCCAACATACAAGCTAGCTTCGCGATAATTTATCGTGAAGATGCTACTACGATAAATAACAATATCATTTTCGGACCCCCTACTACTAAAAGGAAATATTTATATTTTGGGGATTACCAGCACAATCCATTCCATGCGGAAATTACCAGCACAATCCGTATGGCTCCATTAACTATTCAGCAACAAGATAACCTCCACAAGGAGGGATTGACTGACAACTCACGATGCCACTTACAACTCATTCTCCAATTCACTCCTTCGAGCTCAACCACTCGAACCAACTTCCCAAGAGCAAGCTCTCTTTTCCTCTCTCTAGACCAAGTCTCCATCTTCAACAATCATGTTCAGCAACAACAAGATCTACGCACTTTGCATCGCCGTCGTGGCTCTCTCAAGCCATGTGCAGGCCGAGAAGCAAGTGGCCGAGACGTTTGGACTACTCGGTGTTCCTGGTGTCGGTGTGGGTGTTCCCGGTGTTGCTAGCGTCGGAGTGGGTGGCCCCGGTTACGTTGGACCAGGTGTTGGTGTCGGCGTCCCGGGCGTTGCTAGCGTTGGTGTCGGTGTGGGTGTAAACGGCGTTGGTGTCGGTGTGCCTGGTGTCGGTGTAGGTGTAAACGGCGTTGGTGTTGGCGTGAATGGTGTCGGCGTTGGGGTGGGTGTTCCGGGTGTCGCTAGCGTGGGTGTGGGTGCTTCCCCTGTAGTCGGAGTGAACGGCGTCCACGTTGGTGCACCTGCTACCGTTATCCACGACGGTGTCGACGTCGGCGTTGGAGCTGGCGCGAGCAAGACTGTGACTGTGACGAGTGATGACGGTGCCAGCACGGCGAAGACGTCCACCGGTACGGGTGGTGCGTCGGCGACCGCCACTGCAAGCACTTCTGCGAGCGCAAACGCGAATGCTGGTGCTACGGCTGGAACCGGTGCCACATCTCAGAAATCGTACCGCAGGCTTCGCTCGCAGGAGTGAACGAGATGAGTTCACCACTAGAAGAAAGATAAGAGCTAGATAGTTCTTTTTTGTAGTAACGTTTGCAGGTTAATCCATTGTCTAATGAAAGTATTTGTCATAATGAATCTGGAACGTGGAAAATAGCGGTTGGATTGCCGCTATTTTCTGAGCTACTACTACATGTAGTACATGTAGTAACATCTATGCATTCTGCTACTCAGAGCGTGAGCGGCAAAACTCTACTTTGCAGATGCCACGAATACGGATACCTATTTACTGAAGTACTTGTATTGCGCGATAAATAAGTAGTTTATGATCCCGAAAGCGTACAGTACGTGGATGAGCACTACCATGTTTGCCCAAAAGAGTTGGGCGGAGAAAGCGCTTGTTTTAGGCACAGCTACAGTCGCAATTAACCAACCTGGCACCCGGTTAGTAAAACGTATTGCCAATAATTCGCGGACACTACAAGATACTGTACCTGCAGACACTGTAGCGATATGTACATGTACAGCGTCTCCAGGAAATGACGCCCCCCCCTTTTGTGATGGTTAATCGGTCATAGCGAAGGCTGTAGATCTTGAAATTTTGAAATATAGCATTGTTTGACGAAGCTATCTATCGCGGCGGTGATTGGACAGCTACCCTAATAGTATTACTTCTTTCGCTGATAAAACAGAATATTATTCTGACGAAAGAAGTAAAGCAGGGCTCGCACACACAAAAAGTTGGAACAAGCAACTCACGCGCACCTTGTTCACCTTCTTTCTAGCTTTTCTGATCGAACGTGGCACATTAGTGCTTACATAAAGTCATCGTAGTCATCGTACGTGTCTTCGAAGCCAGCGTACCCCATTCCTCCGGCACCACCGTTGCCGACGCTGCGCTCGACGTTAGCGTAGCCCTGTTTACCCGCCTGCTTCTTCTTCTTGCCCTTAGGCTTGGCAGCGGTGATTTTCTCGTTCTTGATAACGTTGACGATAGTTGTGATCTCCTTCATGTCATCGGCTGTCAAGTTCACCGATGCCTTCGTCAGGATCACCTTAATGCACTCAAGCGCGTACTTGGCGTTGGACGTGGCCAGCCGAGACGCCACCACGTCACCCAGGTGTTCGTGGTCGGCGAGTGACAGCAAGCGCATTGCTGAGATAGCATTATCGGCGTCGTCGGAAGCACCCGCCGCCGGCTTGGGCGGGGCACCGGCAAAGGCGTCAATGGCCATCTCAAAGTCTGCCTCCTCGATGGAGGCCTTCTCGCGGGATCGACGCTGGTCGTCGGTCTCATCAGCCTGGGCGGCAAGACGTGCCTTGGTAAGGGCGATTTCCATCTTCTGCTTCTCCTCAATCTCCTTTAGCTTCATCTTCTTCAGCTGCTTGGGCTTGAGCGGGCCCTTGGGAACGGCCGGCTCGGGCTTGGCAGACACAACCGGCTCCTCCTCTTCCTCCTCGTCGTCCCAGTTGGCAGCGACCTTTTGCGTCTCCGTCACCGATGGGACTTCGAATTCGTCGTCATCTGCAAAAACGGTGGACTGTGAGCGACTCAGATCGAGTTAAAGCACGGAGAGCGCTGCGTTGCGTGCGCGAGAAGCAGTGCTAGCAGAAGGTTATAGTATCTGCATATATAGTATTGAAGCACGCACCCCAGGAGTCCATCTTGGCTGGCTGCTGCAGTTGATGCGCTTGCGCTTTGGTTGGCGTTTCTGCTTCTCTGATTATTGGCCGCCAGACAAGATGCTCATTTTGCGATCCTAAAATAGTCCTGATGACCGAACTTAAGGTTGGGCACACAGCCCTCCTTATGTCGATAGGTATCTTAGGATATATGTGGCTGATCTATCACCGCAAGTCAAAAATTGCAAATTAGTGCGTCATGGTATCGACCACCGCCATGTTGTGCAAGGCACCGCGCCGCGTCGGTCTCCTCAAGGCGCAGCAGCGCCGCCGATTCTCCCAACAGCAGCAAAAGCAAAAGTCTGAAGAGGGTGCCACGTCGTCGGGCAGCATCTTCTCTGGCAGCTGGAAGATCCCGGCCACCATGGGCTTTGCTCTCATCGGATTTCTGCAGTGGCAACACCTGAACCACCCGACGGACGAGGAGCGGAAGACGCACCCGGCGGAAGCTCTACGTCGTCTGCCTGGCACCCACACGGCGTTTGAGGACACGATGGCCACAGAACGCCAGCTGCAGTCGCTCAAGCTTTTTCCGTACCGAGCTGCCAGCCGCCTTTGGGGTGAAGTGCACGACAAGGAGCTGTATGGATCAAAGTGCCACATTTGAAGTATCTACAGCTCATTTCTCATTCATTTCCTCTGCTGTTTGTGATCGAATGACAGGCCGTCGTGGATGCGTGAACCCGTTTACAAGGCGTGGACCGCCGTCTTTAATTGCAAACTGGACGAAATGAAGTATCCGCTGCAAGACTACGCCAACCTCGGTGAATTCTTTTCGCGCCCATTTGAAACAGGGCGTTCGTCCGTTTGACTCGGCCCCTGGTCATCTCGCCAGTCCGGTGGACGGAACAGTGACCTCCATCGGTGTAGTGAACGACTCGACCAATGTTCTAACACTGAAGCAAATCAAGGGCGCGCGCTATCGACTCGATGAGTTCCTCGGCGATCTCCCTTCGTTCTTCACCAGCAAGACTTCTGCTTCGAAGGGCAAGAAAATGTTCCATTGCGTCTTGTACCTGGCGCCTGGCGACTACCATCGCATCCACGCACCGGTGGATTGGCAGGTGGAAGAGCGTCGCCACTTCCCCGGGAACCTCTTTCCTGTCAACAAGACCGCTGCCCGACTGATCCCGAGTCTATTCGTGGAGAACGAACGCGTTGCACTGTTGGGTGAATGGGAGCATGGTTTCTTCTCGCTTACTGCTGTAGGCGCCACCAACGTGGGCTCCATTGTCATCACGAAGGAACCGGAATTCCGTACCAACACAGCATTGCAGGATCCGCTGATGGGCCACTGCATAACGAAGAACTATGGTGGTAAGGTAGACACAGCGCGTGGGGAGGAGATGGCACAGTTTAAGGTATGATGGTTTTCTAGTTGCAATGGCTGCGATATACTCACTAGTTCTTCATGTATAGTTGGGCTCCACAGTTGTGCTGGTTTTTGAGGCTCCTGAGTCGTTCCAGTTTACGATTAAACCGGGTGACAAGGTGAGTTACGGTAGCTGCTCAGGGTCCTGAGCGCTGATATTTGACAGTAATGTGTATGTGATTAAATAGTTGATTCTGGGGAAATGCATCGGCAAAGCTGAGTAGATAGGTCTTGGTATTAGCTTAACATCTCACCAAAACAAGCAGAATAGCTAGTCCGGATTGAACAATGTGCATGTTTTAGAATGTGCTAAAAAAAATGCAATCACAACTTATCACAACTTAGCGCTTAGCTGCAAAATGATCCGAGGAAGCTGTCATCGCGTCCTGTGGCAGCTTGGCCACAGAATCGATCCCGAAAAACAATTACCACGACCTCCCCAGCCGCGGCAGCGAGGCCATAGGCGTGACCCTGGGAAACACCCACCGCGACGTCGGTGCCACGGGGCGTTTCTTTCGCCGTCTTCCTTCGCCAGAATTTCGTTCGCATCATCCGGTTGGTCTTGTTTGAGATGACGGTAAGACTTGCAGCGAGGCCAACGTTGTGAGCCGCGGTAGCAGCCTCCGTCACCACGGTGCAACCAGGCGTGGTTTTCACCGCTCTTCGTCACAACATCATCCTCGGGCACAGCCATCCCCAATGGTGCAGGAGGCTTTTCGTCATTCAAAAGGCGACACAAACGGTGTTCTCCTACTTCCCAAGTAGCACGGTACATGTACACCATCGTCGTGTAAGCCAAGGTCGATGAGCTCACAACACCATAACTTGACGGTACCTTTCGTATCATCAGCGCTCAAACCGTTCGTGAAAGGCATGATGTAGACAGCTCCTATCGCCATGACCAGAAGTATCAGAAGCGATGACCCCTTCATCTCCACGTCGACGCATCTTCTACTTGCTGTCTCTCAGGTGAATAGTAAAATGAGAAGGATCGAGGCAACACACCGCTGTAGGTGCTGATCGTCTTTCCTGGCAAGTTCGGGTTTCTCGCAAAGTAACTGCACTCGCTAAAACGTGTATTACTGCAGAAACAAACGACATTACACGTATACACTACTCAGGCTAGCTTCTGTCCTATTCACTCCTCCGAGCGAAGCTTGCGGTACGATTTCTGAGATGTGGCACCGGTTTCGGCTTTCGCACCAGCATTCGCGTTCGCGTTCGCAGAAGCGCTTGCAGTGGCGGTCGCCGACGCACCACCCGTACCGGTGGACGTCTTCGCCGTGCTGGCACCGTCATCACTCGTCACAGTCACAGTCTTGCTCGCGCCAGTTCCAACGCCGACGTCGACACCGTCGTGGACAACGGTAGCAGGTGCACCAACATGGACACCGTTCACTCCGACTACAGGGGAAGCACCCACACCCACGCTAGCGACACCCGGAACGCCCACCCCAACTCCGACACCATTCACGCCAACACCAACGCCGTTTACACCTACGCCAACACCAACGCCGTTTACACCCACACCGACACCAGGCACACCGACACCAACGCCGTTTAGACCCACACCGACACCAACGCTAGCAACGCCCGGGACGCCGACACCAACACCTGGTCCAACGTAACCGGGGCCACCCACTCCGACACTAGCGACACCGGGAACACCGACACCGACACCAGGTACACCGAGTAGTCCAAACGTCTCGGCCACTTGCTTCTCGGCCTGCACATGGCTCGAGAGAGCCACGACGGCGATGCAAAGTGCGAAGATCTTGTTGTTGCTGAACATGATTGCTGAGGATGGAGACTTGGTCCGGAGAGAGGAAAAGAGAGCTTGCTCTTGGGAAGTTGGTTCGAGTGGTTGAGCTCGAAGGAGTGAATTGGAGAATGAGTTGTAAGTGGCATCGTGAGTTGTCAGTCAATCCCTCCTTGTGGAGGTTATCTTGTTGCTGAATAGTTAATGGAGCCATACGGATTGTGCTGGTAATTTCCGCATGGAATGGATTGTGCTGGTAATCCCCAAAATATAAATATTTCCTTTTAGTAGTATTATCCTAGGTAAACAGAGATTGCAGGGGCCGATGTATCAGGGGTCACATTCGAGATGCAAATTGTGACAAACACAAATTGTTTTTAGGGATTTTTTTATAAAAAAAATTAAGAAGACGCAAATCGTGGAGAGCAGACGTACTCCATGTCAACATTTGAATTGGAGAATGAGGGAATGTGCAAGACTTGGGCTGTTGGTGAATTGGAGAATGAGGCAATGTGCAAGACTTGGGCTGTTGGTGTTAGTGAACGGGCTTGACCTAGTCAACAGATCCGGTAGCGCAAATGATCTTCTGGTAAGGATACAGTTTCAGTGTGGTTTTGCTGACAGGCTGAGGCTTATGACATGGGCTACGCACGCTCGCTTGAGCGACTAATTCTCGATCTCTACATCTTCTTATTCGCGCTCTTGACTTCCATCAATTTACAGAAGAAACAACAAATCTAGGCCTCGCATTTCACGTAAAGTGCAGGTACAGTATGGTGCCCGTAACACGCCGAGTACCAATTGCTGCCCGTAATTGGTAGCGCCCCAATTACGGGCACCATACTGTACCTGCACTTTACGTGAAATGCGAGGCCTAGATTTGTTGTTTCTTCTGTAAATTGATGGAAGTCAAGAGCGCGAATAAGAAGATGTAGAGATCGAGAATTAGTCGCTCAAGCGAGCGTGCGTAGCCCATGTCATAAGCCTCAGCCTGTCAGCAAAACCACACTGAAACTGTATCCTTACCAGAAGATCATTTGCGCTACCGGATCTGTTGACTAGGTCAAGCCCGTTCACTAACACCAACAGCCCAAGTCTTGCACATTGCCTCATTCTCCAATTCACCAACAGCCCAAGTCTTGCACATTCCCTCATTCTCCAATTCAAATGTTGACATGGAGTACGTCTGCTCTCCACGATTTGCGTCTTCTTAATTTTTTTTATAAAAAAATCCCTAAAAACAATTTGTGTTTGTCACAATTTGCATCTCGAATGTGACCCCTGATACATCGGCCCCTGCAATCTCTGTTTACCTATTGAGTTGACACCACCAGGATAATACTACTAAAAGGAAATATTTATATTTTGGGATTACCAGCACAATCCATTCCATGCGGAAATTACCAGCACAATCCGTATGGCTCCATTAACTATTCAGCAACAAGATAACCTCCACAAGGAGGGATTGACTGACAACTCACGATGCCACTTACAACTCATTCTCCAATTCACTCCTTCGAGCTCAACCACTCGAACCAACTTCCCAAGAGCAAGCTCTCTTTTCCTCTCTCCGGACCAAGTCTCCATCCTCAGCAATCATGTTCAGCAACAACAAGATCTTCGCACTTTGCATCGCCGTCGTGGCTCTCTCGAGCCATGTGCAGGCCGAGAAGCAAGTGGCCGAGACGTTTGGACTACTCGGTGTACCTGGTGTCGGTGTCGGTGTTCCCGGTGTCGCTAGTGTCGGAGTGGGTGGCCCCGGTTACGTTGGACCAGGTGTTGGTGTCGGCGTCCCGGGCGTTGCTAGCGTTGGTGTCGGTGTGGGTGTAAACGGCGTTGGTGTCGGTGTGCCTGGTGTCGGTGTAGGTGTAAACGGCGTTGGTGTTGGCGTGAATGGTGTCGGATTTGGGGTGGGTGTTCCGGGTGTCGCTAGCGTGGGTGTGGGTGCTTCCCCTGTAGTCGGAGTGAACGGTGTCCATGTTGGTGCACCTGCTACCGTTGTCCACGACGGTGTCGACGTCGGCGTTGGAACTGGCGCGAGCAAGACTGTGACTGTGACGAGTGATGACGGTGCCAGCACGGTGAAGACGTCCACCGGTACGGGTGGTGCGTCGGCGACCGCCACTGCAAGCGCTTCTGCGAACGCGAACGCGAATGCTGGTGCGAAAGCCGGAACCGGTGCCACATCTCAGAAATCGTACCGCAAGCTTCGCTCGGAGGAGTGAATAGGACAGAAGCTAGCCTGAGTAGTGTATACGTGTAATGTCGTTTGTTTCTGCAGTAATACACGTTTTAGCGAGTGCAGTTACTTTGCCAGACCCGAACTTGCCAGGAAAGACGATCAGCACCTAGCGGTGCATGTTGCCTCGATCCTTCTCATTTTACTATTCACCTGAGAGACAGCAAGTCGTAGAACAGTCGACGTGGAGATGAAGGGGTCATCGCTTCTGATACTTCTGGTCATGGCGATAGGAGCTGTCTACATCATGCCTTTCACGGACGGATTGAGCGCTGATGATACGAAAGGTACCGTCAAGTTATGGTGTTGTGAGCTCATCGACCTTGGCTTACACGACGATGGTGTACATGTACCGTGCTACTTGGGAAGTAGGAGAACACCGTTCGCGTCGCCTTTTGAATGACGAAAAGCCTGCTCCTACCGCGGCTCACAACTTTGGCCTCGCTGCAAGTCACCAACCGGATAATGCGAACGAAAATTTTGAGATGGAAGAAAGATGACTGCTACCCCGGATCATTTCTTTGGCCAAGCTGCCAGGCCTAGGGAGGTCAGACTGATTGATTGCTTAAGTCTTGTATGATACAAGTGCCTTGTTGTAACCTTTTTTTGGTGAGCTACGACGTCAAGCACTCCGAGAAGTGTCGAGTGTATGAGCGAATTTGATCCATGCAGTGACAAAGATTAGCAGGTAAAAATAACCCGTTCTGTGCTTTATGATACCATTCGCGCTGTTATTAACAAAAAACTATTTGTGATCGAATGACAGGCCGTCGTGGATGCGTGAGCCCGTTTACAAGGCGTGGACCGCCGTCTATAATTGCAAACTGGACGAAATGAAGTATCCGCTGCAAGACTACGCCAACCTCGGTGAATTCTTTTCGCGCCCATTGAAACAGAGCGTTCGTCCGTTTGACACGGCCCCTGGTCATCTCGCCAGTCCGGTGGACGGAACAGTGACCTCCATCGGTGTAGTGAACGACTCGGCCAATGTTCTAACACTGGAGCAAATCAAGCGCGCACGCTATCGACTCGATGAGTTCCTCGGCGATCTCCCTTCGTTCTTCACCAACAAGACTTCTGCTTCGAAGGGCAAGAAAATGTTCCATTGCGTCTTGTACCTGGCGCCTGGCGACTACCATCGCATTCACGCACCGGTGGATTGGCAGGTGGAAGAGCGTCGCCACTTCCCCGGGAACCTCTTTCCTGTCAACAAGACCGCTGCCCGACTGATCCCGAGTCTATTCGTGGAGAACGAACGCGTTGCACTGTTGGGTGAATGGGAGCATGGTTTCTTCTCGCTTACTGCTGTAGGCGCCACCAACGTGGGTTCCATTGTCATCACGAAGGAACCGGAATTCCGTACCAACACAGCATTGCAGGATCCGCTGATGGGCCACTGCATAACGAAGAACTATGGTGGTAAGGTAGACACAGCGCGTGGGGAGGAGATGGCACAGTTTAAGGTATGATGGTTTTCTAGTTGCAATGGCTGCGATATACTCACTAGTTCTTCATGTATAGTTGGGCTCCACAGTTGTGCTGGTTTTTGAGGCTCCTGAGTCGTTCCAGTTTACGATTAAACCGGGCGACAAGGTGAGTTACGGTAGCTGCTCAGGGTCTTGAGCGCTGATATTTGGGTAGATTCCCAAATGGTACGTATGCGGAACTGATCGGACTAAAGATCAGGATTTGAGACCTGAATTATACTGAAACCAAAGAAAAACACTTTTAAAGAGGAGAAGATGAAGCATTTTTCGAGGTCTTCTGGCTGCTACACGGACATATCTACAACGAAGCACTAGTGAGTGTACTACCGTCCGCTGCGGGTGTCCAGCTCCTCCAGTGGAGGATCCACGTCGCTGTCAACGTCAGAGGGAATGTCCACAACCTGTGGTAGCTGAATGACCTCGCGAGGAACACGGCGGGCTCGCCCACGAGGAACATCAGCAACGCGGCGTACGTACTCAGCTGATATAGCCTTGATCACCGTCACAAATGTCGCCATTGAAGGATGCGGGGTTGGGAAACGTGTATTAAGCTCCCTGTTAAACCTCTCCAGGGGATTATTCGTTCGTGCGACCAACTCGGTGTTCATGCCGAATACGTTACAGACATCGATGGTATACTGGTCCAGCCAAGTGCAATTGAAATACCCCCAAAAATCGGCCCATTTTTCAGTAGAGTAGGTCACGCCAGCTTGAGCACAGCGCAACTTGATCTCACGCTTTACCCACTTAATACCTCGCTCGATGTGAGCAGGATCAATCACCGTCAGGGTGTCTAGGACACCACGTGTCATTGCAATCAGACACTCTTCCTCCGGAATAGCATAGCACTTCATAGCCCGTCGGAGTGCTTGTTTCAGATGAAACAAGCACCCCAACACAATTGCGTTCGGAAACTGTGTTTGTAGTGCGTCCAACAGTGGCGCTTCGAAGTCACAAACAATTTCGGCCGGTTTGAATTGCTGGTCCGTTGATTGTACGATAAAATGAATCATATCCCAGTAGGCGTCGCCAGTACGCGAGGTGCTCAGAATGTAGAACACCGGCACGAACACTCCAGAGGCTCGGTCGTGGACCATGAACACAACGCACTGTGCGTAACCCTGCGGGACACACCGAAAAGTGCCATCCACAAACAGCGTGGTACCATGATAGCGTAGTAGCGCGACCAGAGATGGATGCCACCCAAGCAAGCGGGAAGGCTTGTTCAAATCGTTGCGGTTAATGGTGACGTAGTGAAACTGGAAAAAGGAAAGCTCCTCGTCTAGTGCCAATGAAAGCGGAGGAATTTCAATAGAGCCGTGAACATTGCTAGAGTAATGCGCGCTTCTTGCTCGGTGTACTCGTCGGACAACTTGTTGCTCTGACAACCCACGAACAACGTTGGGATTGTCAGCTGAGTAGAACTGGCGTCGCAATTCTTCCCACACTTGGCGCACAGGCCAAGCGACGTGCTCAATTGCAAGTAGGTCGGCTTGAGCTTTCATCTGGTCCTCAACGTTGATGACGACGTTGGCAATGGCTTCGATGCGACATGTGTGCAGCTTTACAGCAGCATACGCCATCGATGCAATAGTAAACTCTAGTTTTCCTCTGCAACCTTGGCGAAACTTAGAGCATCTGTACACAATTTTCCTTGAGGACGACCATGCCTTGCAGTACTTATAGCCCTTATAGAAGCATGTCGTCCGCTCACCACGTCGTGGCACAGACCCCACATCATTTGCGAGTTGCTATCGAGCTTGCTCGAACAGCAACTCAGTGCTAACGACGTCCTCGACCGGCTCAGCTGGCTCCACTTCGCCATCCTCCGGCGCGCCCTCAGCCGGCTCAGCAGGCTCCACCTCGGCATCCACCGACGCGCCCTCGTTTGCCTCTCGATTCATCTTCTCCACTGACCAACGCATGAGCAGCCTTGAGGCTGAAGAAGTGCGTGAACTTATTAATCATTTTCAGATCCCATGTCAGTTCTCCAGTGAGATAAATATCTGATCTAGAATCTGATCAGTTCCGTATACGTACATTTTCGGAGCTAACCGATATTTGACAGTAATGTGTATGTGATTAAATAGTTGATTCTGGGGAAATGCATCGGCAAAGTTGAGATTAGGGATGGGTTGCGAAAATAAAATCCGATCGATCGATTCGATCAAATCCGATCATGATCGATTGTGATCCGATTGGCTGATCTATCGATCACTTTCGTTCCGATCGGATTCAATCGGATCGGATCGACAAGTTCACAGACTTGTGTAAAAACGTTTTTAGGCCAATATATTTTTATTATACAAAATCTGTCATATTTGCTATAGACTCCTAGTTTTTGATACTCCTGCTGCAGGAGTATCAAAAACGCAGGAGTCCTGCAGCAGGTGTATCAATAACAGGAGTCCTGCATCAATAACCGAAACCACAACTGTTAAGCAAGGACGAAGCAGCTGATCCCGTCGAGGCGTTGGAGTCCGCGTCGAATATCAGCATCGGCCCCGGCAGCGCCGATAGTATCGCTAGTTTAGGACGCAGGAGCAACCCGCGGCGTGTTGTCTATGAGGGCAGCGAGATCGACAGCAGTGACGCACATAGAAACCGTGAGAGGATTTAAAGCGCAGGAATTTGCCAAGACCACTGGAATGAACTGCTTATGAGACGAGGTGACGCTAGCGGGTTTTAATCGACAGCCGCAACCGCGCTGTCCATGTCATCGGGTGTTTGGCACAAAAGCACGTTGTCGCTGTCGGCCGAAACCATGTCCTTAGGTATGGACTTGCTGCCTGTAGAGCTCCATGGGGATCCACTCGTACTGATAAACGCTGTAAACCCTTGAATCTGCGCGAACTGATCTTTGGTTACGTTGAAGTCCTTGATCTCGTTGCCCTGGATGTATAGCGATTCCAATCTGCTCGTGTTGAGCGACGACCCCGGAAAACCGTGAGAGCGTTGTGAGACAAGTACACTCCTTCAGTGCGGAGTATGTGCCGTCCACATACTCGGTGTGGATGCTTTCCACGACAAGTCCAGGTATTGGATCCAATTCGCGCATGAAGCTACTGCTGAGCGTCGAAATATTGCAGTCGCGCAGCGTCAGGTTCATCACAGTAACCGGCACGGAGGCAATGTTCGTCTTCGCCACGGAGTTCAGGTCAACGTTGTTAATCAAAAAGTCGAGGTGTTCGTGGAGTTGCTGACGACGGTCAATGAAGAGCTGGAAATCACGCGGTTTTCGTTGATGGATGCAATTTCAGCTGAAGAATCTCCAGTACCTTCGATCTGAAAGCTGTACAAACTGGAGGGGACCCAAATGGGACGGAAGGCGGTGAGCACCAGCTTATCCTAGGAGTGAATGCGTCATCGTCCTGAGCATATTGGTTCGCACTCGGTTCGGCTTGCGGACATGCACATGTGGCAGTTTAATCCCTTTCGACCTGCACCAGAAGTGCGAATTTTGCAGCAACATACCATGTCGTGAATTCTACTGTCATTTATGAGGTCTGTAGTGACTGCTCGGACCTGTATGAAGTGGAGGAAAACAAAGTATCCAAGAAGAGACTCTGTGTACGTCATTAACGTCGACTCGTGCATCTTCGAGGACGAAGACTTCATGGCTGCATTAGGTCCAGCAGTGATCGACGACGACTACGGTGAAGATTTCGTCGAGGACTACGAGTGTGAATGTGAATGGCTCTGAGTCAATTGGGTGTCTCGAGTGTTCTTGGATTGAGACTGGTACTGATGAAATTAAGACATACTGAGCTGACTTTGAATCAACGGATGCTTGCAATTCGCCTGTGATTGCGACTGGCTGAGCTGCGACTGAGTGAGTCGAGGACGCTCGAATAGAATAGACTTCTTCAGTCCATTAACCTGTGCGTTCACAGGTTTATCAAGCGTTTGCAGTGCTCTCGGATGGTTCAGTACATTCTCTGGATACAGCTCCGACACGTCATCTCGAAGACAGTTAACTCACTGAATCGCAGAGTTCAACTCAATTTAAGGATACTCAACTGACTCAAAGCCAATTGATCACTTCCAGGAATCGCAGCTCACTCAGAGTCAACTCAGTCAATCGCAGAATCAATTCAAGCAACGCGATTCAAACAAGCTCAATTCGACGAATCCCTCGTTACTCAACTGCGAGCCGATGTGGAATACCATTTAAAGCGGACATTAAAAGCAACACTACGAGAGACAAGAAGGGGGGTTTACAGTACTGACGAGCCTAAATTCTCCATCACTCTGTTGGAACGAGATTACCAACTCGAGTTCGATGATACGACTGTAGTACGTTATTAGTTTTGGTGCCTTGAGTCCTACGTACGGTCGAAGTGCGCTCAATATGCTGCCTCAAATCGCTGCGCCCCATTTGGATTGCCCCATTGGATACGACACGGAGATCGATCAATGGACTCAGTACGTCCACTTTCGTGGAGCCATCGGGATGTCAATTTCTCGAGAGCAATCCATGTGCTCACACACTATCTACCACGAACGGCCTCTGGTCGTCAAGAACGCCTTGAACGACACCCGCTTCAGCCACCTGGGCGTCGTCAATCAAACAGATGCCCGGTTCTACGCTGGTTTCCCGATCCGAGCGCCGGACAGCGCTATAGTCACTTGCTGCAGGATCCACGAACTCGTACTTGTACAAAGGTACTGGGCTCACCAACTGACAAAGGGATTCCGGAGCTTGTGAATGTTTACTCGGGTCATCTAAGTACAATTGGTCCGTGAGCTCCTCCACCCAGCTCGAGTCAGAAGTCATTAAAGCTGTATCTCCATTCATCGTTGTATCACAATGCGTCACTGTGCTCGATCTGTTCCAACCGCTACCGCTTATTCCGTTGCGACTTCTTCTGGCATTTGTGTGGTAACATGGTGTGTGGAGATTACTCCCAAATGTACGAGGTGGAAGCTCGCATGGGGGGAGCTTCGATGCAATCGATAATGTCTACAATGCGTACACCGTGGTGACACATGTGTGTTTGACGATGAAGGAGACTTTGGGCATGCAGTTGTATCTGTAATGTCTACAATGCGTACACCGTGGTGACACATGTGTGTTTGACGATGAAGGAGACTTTGGGCATGCAGTTGTATCTGTAATGCCGGATCGTCGTACCCCATAGGGAAGTAGATGAATGTTTGGAAACCAAAGCGACGACGACGAACGGCCCTTTCAAATTGACGGAGAGACGTTCAGGACGTGTATAGCTTCGGGGTTCATGATACTTTCACGTCTACGAGCGATATATTAAATGGGTTTTAATCCATTGCAGACATGGAGCTCATTGAATACTCCGGGGTGAATGCCACAGCGAATGCGATCTTAGCTGTCGGATCTTCGTGTAAGAACAAATGGAGCCCAGTTGTGGGATCATTGAGCAGCCTGCTAGCACCAATAACACCTAGGTAAAGTCCAATGACCAGGAAAATGTCTCCAAACGAAGATCCATTCAGTGTTCCTGCTACGAATAAGTCCATGATGCTCCTGTCATTGTCGCAGCGTTGATGGACGTTTGAGCGTGTCCTCTAGTAGGTATTGGCTCTCTCCGGGTAACTTCCCCACGACGGTTCCAGAGGTCGGCTTTCTAGTGCAGTCTCGTGCCCCGTCATTCCACGACATCATCGACCAGATACATCACCTCTTTACCCACCACTGGACTTTGAAAAGCGCTGTCACGTCATTTGGAAATTGATGCAAAGCCGAATGCTGTTCCGGCGATTGAAGCGAACTGGGTGGATGTGGACTATGGGCTGAAGACGATCGTACTTGCTGTGTGGAGCTTAACATTCATTGGATGAGTCGAAACAGATCTTGCGTAGATCCTGGGTGTATATCTATTGTGTGCCACGTTCTGGGTGATTGAAGTCGATGTCGCGAGTGTGGTGTGCACAGTGGTCGACGTGGTAAGAGCCTGGAGCTCCCAGAAGTACATGAAGGTGGTAGCAGCTCCAGCAACTGCGCTACGTTTCCTTGTTCAGTTATTTCCTATCGTTGCTCCATGAAATTGACAGCAGTACAAATGGATTGCAGATAACTTTTCGGAACACGGCGACTCCACTGGGAACTATTGCGTGTCTTGCAGTTCCGCTCGTGTGTGTCATTCAGAGTCATGTGCCGAGACCACTCCTGTTCTTCTGATTAACATACCACTTGCCTTTCGGATGGCTTCTCAAGACGACGCTAACGCTGCTGGACATCTTTGAGCTGTGCTGGAATCTCCGGTGCAGCAATTGGCAAGCGTCACAAAGAGCACGAAGACCTTCCTTGGCGCCTTTGGTGAACTGTTTCCAGTATTGTCGACGCTCAGCAGCCTCGCGCAGGCGACGCTGCCAATTATTCTGATGTGGATGGCCGACACCATTGGAGAACGTGCTATCGATTACATGACCAGGAACTAATGTTTCACTGGCAACCAAAGTGATAGAAGACAAACACAAAACATCATTTTTCAACCATATATCCGCGAGAGATTAATGCGCGTTGCCTGGGCGATAGATTCTGATGGGATCAATGGTTCACTGTACTGAACTAGTCAGTGAACTAAAGATGAGCATGAACATCGCCTGATGTCTTGTTGAAATCCAGAAACGCTTGTAGCTCCGATATCGCTGTCACAGCATCATCTCCAAGCCTGGCACGACGAGAACTAATAGTTGCACCCGACGCAGAGAATGCCTCTTCACTTGGGACTGATGTTGCCATAATTGCCAAATAATCGCGCGCCATCATCTGAATCCGCGGAAATGAAGCGGCTTCATTCTTCATCCAGTTGCAAACAGCTCGACTTCCTGTCTTCAGGTTCATGGATCTGTCCTTGTGTTCCAACCACCGCTGTAGCTCCGAAACGAACGACTCATTTGTGTTGTTGACCGGTTCGTGTAAATCCAAATGCTCATCAATGAGACCATATAATGCTTCTTCGTCATCGTCTTCTTCTTTCTCCTCCTGCGTTCTCTCAGCCTCGGCGATGCCCACAGTTCGTTCGTATTTACTGCGATACACAGATTCATATTCGTTCTCAACAAGGCGCTTGGCCTGCTCGATATCACCGTCGATCATCACAATGTGTTCCTTAGCTCGAGGATCAAGAACGGCAGCAATCCTTGCCTCGCGAGTCTTCACCAACGAAAGGTACTCATCCAACTTTGTTTTAAAGGCACGTGCAAAGTCCCTAGTGTACCACGACTCGGCATTCTGCATTATCTTTGACGCATGCTTCGAGATCAAATGGAAGACAACAAGTGTTACACCGAATGTGGGGTAATTTTTTCCAGACATCATAGTAGTTGCTGCTTTGATCGGCTTCAAGAACGCCGTAAACTCGGTCAAGTAACTCCACGTAGTCTCCGAAATGGGGGAGGCAAGACGATGTGTATGACCAATTGACAAGTCTCTGTATCCTTCATGGCGCTCGCGGATTCTACGCAGCAGTTCTTCGATCGCCTTTTGTAATGCACGAGCTGAAGCCAGCATAGTCAAAGTGCTGTTCCATCTGGTGACGCAATCGAGTTCTGGAGAAACATACTTGATACTAACAGCGGCACACACTCCTTGCAAAGCTTCTAGCAAAGACGGTGAGTCCGATATCTTCTTCAAAATGTCGCGAATACTTCCAACGCTATCATCCATTAAGGGGCACGCTTCCATTCCTTTCTCTCACAGCAAGTTGAAGCACATGAGCGAGACAACGAACTTGTATCACCTTCAGCTGAGAACTTCTGCCTTCCTCACCAGCTATATGTACTCCCGTCGTGGTAGAAGCCGCGGTTGTTTGTTCGTTGGTAAACACCTCGTCAGCAAGTGTCTCGTTAATTTTTCTGACCATGGTCCCATTGTTAGTCGCATTATCTGCAGTAATTGCCCACAGCTTCGAGATAAGAGATTCATCCATTGCCCTCAGTGTATCCATTAAATGATCGGCAAGCCGGACGCCACTATGAGGATACTCCACCCGTGTGAATCCGACCACTACGGACTTGATAGCCCATTCGTCATTGATCCAGTGTAACGTCACGACCATATACCCTTTTTGAGCCGCCGACGTCCACATGTCGGTTGTGGCAGACACACGACACGACGCAATTTCTTGGAGCATTGTGTGCCGGGCCAGTTCCTTTTCACATGTCCAGCGTTGTATGACCTTCTTGCGCACCGTTTTACGAGTTGGAGGCGTGTAATCGGCTTCAAGAATCTTACAAAATGATCGAAACGCTTTCTTTTCCACCAAATTAAACGGAAGTGAGTTCATCACGATCAAGTCCACAAGCTGATCATCGGCCGCAGCTTTGTCAAAAGTGCGCTGCTTTACAAAACGTTCAAAACCAAACGCAAGTAACTTCGTTTGCTTGGAATCCATTGCAGCCACTGAAGCCTCGGCGTCTCCTCCGGAATATTCGTCACGATGGTACCGTTTAAGATGGCGGCGAAAAGTGGTGTGTGCAATTGATGACCATCGACAAGCTGAGTCTGTAGGGCACAGCAAGCAGGTATAGGAACCTTCATCGTTCTCACGAATGAAAGACCAAATGTCGGAACGCTTGTGACTGTGAGATCGCCGATATCCACTCGATGAAGTGTTTGCGTTCGACGAAATGTTTATGCTCGACTCGTCATGAGCGTCCATTGATTCTACTTATGTGGTATCTTGCCTACGTAGTAAAGCCAAAGTAGAGAAGTGAAATCAGCTCATTACCGTTCGGCGTGCAGCCTTAGTCTGTCCCACGGAGGTAGCTTCTCGACAGGAATTTGGTGCAGGTGCAACTACCGATCCGATCCGATCGGATCCGATCGGATCGAATCAAGCCATACAAATTCCAAGTATATAAACTACAATCACACACAGATCATGGCGCAAAATTCCAACCTCAACGAAGGGAAGTTCGGTCCCAGAAGTGGCGAGCCAATGCCGTGATGTGCTGGTAGACACTGCCAGGGAGAGGTATCACACTTGGACTTGAGCTTCGAGGAGCGGATAGTTCGGGCGGTGAAGTGGTAAGCGGTGGGGCGTACCACGACGGACAGCGCGGCAATGATCTTGATTCAAGTACATGTACAAGTCGCCAATCAAGACTCTTGATGAGCGACTTGTACATGTTCGGCTCGCCATGGACAGCTTCACAGCGGGACGTGGAAGTTCCCGGGCACTTCGATGAGCTGGGTGGTGCTCAACAACAAGCAGGCAGAAGTGCTGGTACGACGTGGCTACAGCGTTGCAGGCGTGTCGCCGACGCTGTTGGATATATGCTCATTAATTTTCCGCCGGAGTCTGCAGTGGGCTAGCCGCAGACGTAATCGGTGGCGTAGTTTTCGGATGTGTTCCGGGAGTCTCTATTGCTGGTATTCCGCGATAAACGAGATGCTGCACTGAATATACGGAAGGTGCGTCTGCTGACGATTTCATAATAAAATTCGTCACTTTCCTCTGCCTTAGGCTCCTACGAAAAACACTTCCTAGCAGAAAACTTCTTGCTAGGACTCCTGCTGCAGGAAAACTCATCCTGGAGACGAACAACACGTACGGTACGACAATATGACCTCAAATATTTAATGCAGAACGTCTTAAATCGTTTCATAGAATCGTAAAGGTTTTAAATGTCATTGGGTAGACTCTATACCTACAAGAACGTATTTCTTGTGAATCCCAGCACAAGGGACTATATCATTTTTTGTGTTTCTCCTAGAATCTTATACATTTTTGATTGGATCCGATCGATCGATCAATCGGATTCAATCGAATAAGATCGAAATTAGTCAGACGAGACATATCGATTGATCCGATTCAATCCATTTCCCAAGCCTGGTTGAGATAGGTCTTGGTATTAGCTTAACATCTCACCAAAACAAGCAGAATAGCTAGCCCGGATTGAACAATGTGCATGTTTTAGAATGTGCTAAAAAAATGCAATCACAACTTATCACAACTTAGCGCTTTCTCGATGTAAGCTGCAAAATGATCCGAGGAAGCTGTCATCGCGTCCTGCGGCAGCTTGGCCACAGAATCGATCCCGGAAAACAATTACCACGACCTCTTCAGCCGCGGCAGCGAGGCCATAGGCGTGACCCTGGGAAACACCCACCGCGACGTCGGTGCCACGGGGCGTTTCTTTCGCCGTCTTCCTTCGCCAGAATTTCGTTCGCATCATCCGGTTGGTCTTGTTCGAGATGACGGTAAGACTTGCAGCGAGGCCAACGTTGTGAGCCGCGGTAGCAGCCTTCGTCGCCACGGTGCAACCAGGCGTGGTTTTCACCGCTCTTCGTCACAACATCATCCTCGGGCACAGCCATCCCCAATGGTGCAGGAGGCTTTTCGTCATTCGAAAGGCGACACAAACGGTATTCTCCTACTTTCCCAGTAGCACGGTACATGTACACCATCGTCGTGCATTAATAAGCCAAAGTAGACAAGCTCACAACACCATAACTTGACGGTACCTTTCGTATCATCAGCGCTCAATCCGTCCGTGGAAGGCATGATGCAGACAGCTCCTATCGCCATGACCAGAAGTATCAGAAGCGATGACCCCTTCATCTCCACGTCGACTGTTCTACGACTTGCTGTCTCTCAGGTAAATAGTAAAATGAGAAGGATCGAGGCAACATGCACCGTTAGGTGCGATCGTCTTTTCCTGGCAAGTTCGGGTTTCTCGCAAAGTAACTGTACTCGCTAAAACGTGTATTACTGCAAAAGCAAACGACATTACACGTATACACTACTCGGGAGAGTCTCTGTCATATTCACTCCTCAGAGCGAAGTTGGGGACACGATTTGTGAGATGTGGCACCGGTTCCGGCTTTCGCACCAGCATTCGCGTTCGCGTTCGCAGAAGCGCTTGCAGTGGCGGTCGCCGACGCACCACCCGTACCGGTGGACGTCTTCGCCGTGCTGGCACCGTCATCACTCGTCACGGTCACAGTCTTGCTCGCGCCAGTTCCAACGCCGACGTCGACACCGTCGTGGACAACGGTAGCAGGTGCACCAACTTGGACACCGTTCACTCCGACTACAGGGGAAGCACCCACACCCACGCAAGCGACACCCGGAACGCCCACCCCAACTCCAACACCATTCACGCCAAGACCAACGCCGTTTACACCCACACCAACACCAGGTACACCGACACCAACGCCGTTTACACCCACACCGACACCAGGCACACTGACACCAACGCTAGCAACGCCCGGGATGCCGACACCAACACCTGGTCCAACGTAACCGGGGCCACACACTCCGACACTAGCGACACCGGGAACACCGACACCGACACCAGGTACACCGAGTAGTCCAAACGTCTCGGCCACTTGCTTCTCGGCCTGCACATGGCTTGATATAGAGCCACGGCGGCGATGCACATTGCGATGATCTTGTTGTTGCTGAACATGACTCCATGTCAACAACAACTTCAACATGGGGCATACAAAGTTCAGCATCAAAACCTTGAATAAGAAACAACAAATCTAGGCCTTGCATTTCACGTAAAGTGCAGGTACAGTATGGTGCCCGTAATTGGTGGGCTGTTCTGTAAATTGATGGAAGTCAAGAGCGCGAATAAGAAGATGTAGAGATCGAGAATTAGTCGCTCAAACGAGCGTGCGTAGCCCATGTCATGTGCCTCAGCCTGTCAGCCAAACCACACTGAAACTGTATCCTTACCAGAAGATCATTTGCGCTACCGGATCTGTTGACTAGGTCAAGCCCGTTCACCAACATTAACCGCCCAAGTCTTGCACATTGCCTCATTCTCCAATTCACTCCTTCGAGCTCAACCACTCGAACCAACTTCCCCAAGAGCAAGCTCTCTATTATTCTCTCTAGACCCTTCAACAAATGTACGTCTGCTCTCCACGATTTGCGTCTTCTTAATTTAAAAAAAAAAGCCGCTAAAAACAATTTGTGTTTGTCACAAATTGCATCTCGAATGTGACCCCTGATACATCGGCCCCTGCTTATTGACTTGACACCACCAGGATTATACTACTAAAAGGAAAGGATTATTTTTTGGGGATTACCAGCACAATCCATTCCATGCGGATACCAGCAGAATTCGTATGGCTCCATTAACTATTCAGCACCTCCACAAGGAGGAATTGACTGACAACTCACGATGCCACTTACAACTCATTCTCCAATTCACTCCTTCGAGCTCAACCACTCGAACCAACTTCCCAAGTGCAAGCTCTCTTTTCCTCTCACCGGACCAAGTCTCCATCCTCAGCAATCATGTTCAGCAACAACAAGATCTTCGCACTTTGCATCGCCGTCGTGGCTCTCTCAAGTCATGTGCAGGCCGAGAAGCAAGTGGCCGAGACGTTTGGACTACTCGGTGTACCTGGTGTCGGTGTCGGTGTTCCCGGTGTCGCTAGTGTAGGAGTGGGTGGCCCCGGTTACGTTGGACCAGGTGTTGATGTCGGCGTCCCGGGCGTTGCTAGCGTTGGTGTCGGTGTGCCTGGTGTCGGTGTGGGTGTAAACGGCGTTGGTGTTGGCGTGAATGGTGTCGGAGTTGGGGTGGGCGTTCCGGGTGTCGCTAACGTGGGTGTGGGTGCTTCCCCTGTAGTCGGAGTGAACGGTGTCCATGTTGGTGCACCTGCTACCGTTGTCCACGACGGTGTCGACGTCGGCGTTGGAACTGGCGCGAGCAAGACTGTGACCGTGACGAGTGATGACGGTGCCAGCACGGCGAAGACGTCCACCGGTACGGGTGGTGCGTCGGCGACCGCCACTGCAAGCGCTTCTGCGAACGCGAATGCTGGTGCGAAAGCCGAAACCGGTGCCACATCTCAAAAATCGTACCGCAAGCTTCGCTTGGAGAAGTGAATAGGACAGAAGCTAGCCTGAGTAGTGTATACGTGTAATGTCGTTTGCTTTTGCAGTAATACCACGTTTTGGCGAGTACAGTTACTTTGCGAGAAACCCGAACTTGCCAGGAAAGACGATCAGCACCTAACGGTGCATGTTGCCTCGATCCTTCTCATTTTACTATTTACCTGAGAGACAGCAAGTCGTAGAACAGTCGACGTGGAGATGAAGGGGTCATCGCTTCTGATACTTCTGGTCATGGCGATAGGAGCTGTCTGCATCATGCCTTCCACGGACGGATTGAGCGCTGATGATACGAAAGGTACCGTCAAGTTATGGTGTTGTGAGCTTGTCTACTTTGGCTTATTAATGCACGACGATGGTGTACATGTACCGTGCTACTGGGAAAGTAGGAGAATACCGTTTGCGTCGCCTTTCGAATGACGAAAAGCCTCCAGCACCATTGGGGATGGCTGTGCCCGAGGATGATGTTGTGACGAAGAGCGGTGAAAACCACGCCTGGTTGCACCGTGGCGACGAAGGCTGCTACCGCGGCTCACAACGTTGGCCTCGCTGCAAGTCTACCGTCATCTCGAACAAGACCAACCGGATGGTGCGAGCGAAAATTTAGAGATGGAAGAAAGCGAAAGTCACGTCCCGTGGCACCGACGTCGCGGTGGGTGTTTCCCAGGTTCACGCCTATGGCCTCGCTGCCGCGCCTGGGGAGGGCGCGATGACTGCTTCCCCGGATCATTTCTTTGGCCAAGCTGCCGCGCCTGGGGAGGACGCGACTGCTTCCCCGGATCATTTCTTTGGCCAAGCTGCCGGGCCTGGGGAGGTCAGACTGATTAATTGCCTGGGTCTTGTATGATACAAGTGCCTTGTTGCAACCCTTTCTTGGTGAGCTACAACGTCAAGCGCTCCGAGAAGTGTCGAGTGTATGAGCGAATTTGATCCATGCAGTGACAAAGATTAGTAGGTAAAAAAATCCGTTCTGTGCTTTATGATACCATACGCGCAGTTATTTAAAAAAATAAATCTTGTTACTGTAACTAGATATTTACTTCCTCCGCCCGAAAACATAAGCAGGATGGGTGGGAAAAATAATTTTAAAAACAGAAAACCTTTAAACGAGCAGCTGATTGGTCTTAATTGCTGTTTAGATTACGGCAATTGTTTGTTCGGCTTATCGTTATGCAAAGTTCGTGGTGAAGATGGGAAAGTTGAAAATCTTTCAATCGCCGGAATGTCAATTTTACACGAAATGTCATAGAAACCTGTAGAGATGTAGCGCGTGATTCTCTGTTGAATGGTGCCACGTAGAGTTCCTAAATATTTCTACGTGCAGCGGCCGACAACAACAGCAACATTTGTATGGGCGTACTTAGGTGGAATACGACAGTACTATCAAATGACTTGAATTTGTAAGCATACCGCTTTTATTTTCGGACACGGTTTAAACAGATGCCCCGCTTATATTTTCGGGCAGGAAGTAATGAGTATCAGGCCGTCCGTTCTATGGGCCCTGACCCGAGTCATTGGGACCTAATCGAAATATTAATTTTCATATTACCCATGTCGTCATACTTGTAAGCGCGAAGAGACACACAGTGACGACGGCATCTCAATGCTCTCGGCCGCAGCAGCTTCAGCCGCACAGGCTCGTACTTTAGTCAACGACAGCGCCACTCGATTACAGATAGAGGATAGTGAGCGTGCGACGCTCCAAACTAAGTTGGATTTGCGTCCTATCAACACAAAAAGAAAATACGAGGGTTATCAGAAGGAGTTTGTTTCGTGGTGCCATGACAAGCACTTCTTCGACGGTTCTACAGTCACGAAAGGCAAGTTGCATTTTTTTCTGTCCGAGCAAGTCGTGGGAAGAGAATCCAAAAAGAAAAAGGGAACGACTGTCGGAGGATCGACTGTATGTGGGTACGCAAACGCCGCTGTCGACCTATACAGTAAACAGGTGGCACTTCAAGTGAACTCAAACGAGCAACCTTGGTCCGCTCAAGTGAAACAGTTTGTTAAGAAATGTGCAAGCTATACGTACTGAAACAAAGAAAAAAAATACCAGGATCGCGGTGTTGGATCTCTCCTAGACGGATACCACTTGGAATTGCAGTTTCGCCAGATTTGTGATAGTTTTTTTTCTGCTTGATGATCTACGCGGACGCGCTGCGTTTCTATTTTCTCACTATGGTTTGCTTCGCGGTGAGAATATACGTGACTTGGAGCTCGCCGATATGTTCTCTCAGCCTCTTGATAACGAGGGCTTTCAGCCTTCTGCAATCATTCAAAGAAAAAAAATCGAAGAATGGGGGCGCAATTTAGCAGCACGCGGGATCATTGAGATTTTAGAGCTGCTGCGGATCGTGCTAATTCAGGACGCTACAATATTATTCGATCATCTCCCTTCTCGAATTCGGCACCACAAAATCTTCGGAAATTGTTTTGAACAGTATCGAACCAGCGTTTCTACTGCCATGCTAACAGCTCAGCATCCAGTGGTATCACAACTTCAAGTGGCCATGTCACTTTTAACAGAGCAAATACGGACTCAACACGCTGCTGTAATGGACAAAGTAGAAGCAAGGCATAAGGAACTGGTAAATGAGTTCAGCGACTGGAAGGACAGCGTACATCATTCCTTCAAGGCGAGGTCGCGTACCGCATACTGCGTGTTCGAAATAACGGCAACGATAATATTAACCAGCCATCAGATCATATCCATGCAGCCAGTGTCGATATAACTCACATTACCCCGTGAGAGACGCCACCGGCGAATATAGGAAACATTTCTTAATGTTCTATGAGCCGTGGTGTATCTACGGTACGCCAGCTATGGACTGAATGGCATGAAGGTATAGCAAATCAGCCCATCAATTGAATCACTAGAGCGCACGTTTGGAACCAAATGGCGATCATCTACAAGAGAGTTAAAGTTCTTCTCGCGGCGCTTATATGTGATTAAATACGTACGGTGTCTAGTACGATGTGGACTGTCAGCCGAATCTGCCATTGTTAAAGCTGATGGTGAGCGTGGGACCAGGAGTATCGATGCTTTCTCTAAGTGGTTACGCAGTACAGATCACATTAGTCACGTATAGTTTTAATTTCATAGTATGTAAATTATCCCGCTCGTTACCTCAGCGCATATCACGTGTCAGCATGAGTTGAGGAGTCATACGTATCGCGCATGGCGGTGAGCTCTACACCAATAAATACATGCTGAATTAGTAGCTGTCACTTGTACAAAGCCTCAACCACGCGTTTGTTGCCAAGCTCTATAGAATGATGTTATCAGCATAGCGGTACTGAGCACCTTGCAATGACCCTAATATCATCGCAACAGTTAGCACGAGGCCGACAAGGGCACATTACACACTGACCATTCGCAGAGAAGCACAAGGCAACTAACCCGCAGCATCCACTGGTGACTGGAAGAAAACTGTCATGCACGAAGCCTGTAGTGGTCTTGTGGAAGCTTATAATCTGATCTTTACTGCGCCCACGAGAGGGGCAGAGCTTGTCCGTTGAGCACCGGTAGCGGAGCGCTTTAAGGCCTCGAAGTGCTTGTAGCGTTAGGCTGTATCCGCGGGCGAAACGCGGCGGTGATCACAACTCTTCCACTGCTTGGCAAAGTGGTCGTCTCTGCTTCTCAATGAGTCTTGGTCTTGGTGTATTTTTATCAGATGGCACACGCCTGCATTTTACATACTTTAAACCAATAAGGTCACAGTATTTAGGTCACGACCTTTTTTTTACGAGTAATATCTGTACATACTTACCTAAAAACGACTGGTATCTCGAGATATCAGGTCCAAGGTCATGACGGTCATCATGTCATGATGACCGAGTCATGACGTTTTACGTTTTAAATATGTTTATGCGGAGCTCTTAGGGCATCTCTGCCGGCATTTACGTAAAATTATACGTAAATATTTTGGGACCAAAAATATAAATTCGTGCAGGAGGCTCAGCATACGGCACGGTTTTATACAAGTCTGGTCAGCTTTCTAAAGCAATTACGATATTAGCCAGAGCATGTTTTCTTACAGATTTACCGAAGCCAGGTTATCTACATTTTGATCTGTAACTCAGTCAGTTTTACGAGTTAGCTGATGCTGTTTAAATATGATGTTTCAATCCCCAAATGCAGTTTGAGACTTGTTTTAACGCATGGAATATCGCAGTTTACAAATGGGTTAGTATACAAGCGACCGCTTTTGTCGTTGCGACCATTTTTATGACCCCCTACCCCTACACATACAAAAAACAAGTAAAAATAGTGATGGCCAATATGACTACATTAGTAGTGTGTTTTGTTACCGTGCTTCTTGACGACCTCCTTACACCTGCGCGGCATGGACTATATCAAAGAGGCTATAAGCGCTTCGCCGATCGAGTCTTATGCTTCATATAGAGCTGCGGTTAGCTTAGCAACAGTGGAATACTGTTTACCGCTGGCGTATACATGTCTTGTCATGATTGACCACAGATTTTCAATGGGATTAAGATCTGTCAACTCTAGCAGGCCAGTCAAGAACGTGCATACATTGCTCGTTAAAAGAACTCTTTAGTCCCTTTTAGACCCGGTGCCGTCTTGCTGGTAGACAAAAGTCAGTACCATAGTGGCAGGTGGGCGAAACGGAGCAGAGACTCGGAAACGTAGTCGTTCGAGTTGTCTTTCCTGCGGATCTGATGCCCCGCCACACCATTACCGACCGTCCACCAGCTTGGCGTCGCTTGGTCTGCCTAGGAAGGAGGATGTCCCTCCACTAAGTCATGAAAGCCGTCGGGTCCGTCGAAATTCCACTTCTTCCCGTCGGAGCCGATGATGAACTCCTACGACCCAGCGGCATCCGTGTTAAGAACTCTTGCCCACGCTTAATCTTCCCTTGCCTCCTTGTCCTCTACGGAGAGCGGCAATGTGCTGTCCATTTAGTGTATATTAGCCAGTCTACGTTGAAGAGTACACGCTGAATTGTGCGAGCTGACACCGCCAAATTCAGCTCGCTCTTGAACTGTCGCGCCGAGAAATTCCTCTTAGCAGCAGTACATAACAGGAACCGAGCCTCCCGGTCCTTGCGAGCGTGTAGTTCGCCACTCAATCTCTCGTTGGCTGAACCTTCCTTCATAGAGCCCTTGGATTTGACCCTTTTCCTCGTCAGATAGTGGCGGCCATCTCCCCATAACGCTAGGAATGGCAGCTCACAACCCAAAATGGCATCACACAAGACTGAATCCAATGCGTGGCAATGCCGCATTGACCATCATTATTTTTACTTGTTTTTGTATGGGTACGGTGGTCATAATAATGGTTACAACTCCAAAAACGGTCGCTTGTATACTAGCCCATATCTAAACAGCGATATCCCACGGCTAAAACAGGTCCTATATTGCGTTTGGCAATAGAAACAGCATATCTAAACAGCATCAGCTAACTCGTAAAACTGACTGAGTTACAGATCAAAACGTAGGTGGTCATAATAACCTGGCGCGCAGTGTTGAAAAAAAAGTGTACGTAAAACGGTCGCAATACGTAATGAAATGCGAAACCTTATCCCAGAGAGGGAATGTTGACCCAGTTGGACGAGAACGACATTCAAACAACATTATGTGTACCACAGTCTCAAGTTTCTATTTTATTAAATGAACGTTTGTATTGTGAACTCTCACCAAATTTGCCTACATCTTATTTTCCCGCTCCCGATGATTTTCTGCATTATTATTGGGTATCTGACAATCACCATATATGGCACTGGAGCTTCACTATCCCAAAAATCTCCCGCTCCCGACCACGATAAAAATGTCGGGAGCGGGAGGACTAGTGGAAAATGTTCTCCAAGGGCAAGGTTTTACTCGCTCGAAAATGGAGGAGCTCGAGCGCGTAGAGAACGCCATGGAAGACTACACGAAGTGGATTCGAACGCTTTACGCGCGGAATGTAGAAGGCTCAAGACAGCGCCCACCTCATCAAACAAATCGTCCTATCTGGATGCCCTCCGTGCCAGTCTACTTGTGACGGAAAGTGTTACGGTGCAGGGCCCTTTCCGTCGGTCCAAGCCTAAGCGGAAAACGGTAGATTGCGTGTTTAAATTTCTCAGCGTGCTGTTCTCCGTCAGCTTTTGCGACGGCGTCGCTCTATTGGGTGATTTGGCAACACGGCAGGATCTCGACACACATACGACAGGAGCTGCATCCGACTGGTGAAGTGAAGTAACAGGTGCATATAATGATGAAGACAATGAAAGCTTCAGTGCTTTGTTGCATGTAAGGGTGGAATTTTCGAGCATTGATTCCGCTTCGTTCAAGAACCACGACGCTCAGAAGCAGTGGCAAGTATGGAAGGAGCTGTGCCGTTTTTACAGGAGGTGTATGGCCAATTTTCAAAGTCTGGGAACAACGCTCCATTGAATGCATTCCACGGAGGCAGAGTGGACCTTTACTACTTGCATTTACTCACGACTATCACAAAGCCAAACCGCCACGCTTGTATCGTTCAAACACTACCTGAAGATGTCATGGCGGACTCGTTTGAGAGTGGTTCTACCGCATTGACCAAAATATCAAAGGTGACATCAGCACAATTTGGTAAGATCACATATTTTTACTTATAGCGTCTAAAATCTAGCTGATTTGGGTTTCCAGTGTGTATCAGACTCTCGCACAGACACGGTGATTAAGTTGGTCCAATACATAGCACAAGCCGAAGATAAGGTCTTGTTGACAAATCGATAAATTACATTTTTCGAGAAGGGTGTTACGTTGAGGCGACAAAATCATGCCCTATCTGAGAAGGAGCACAAGGCTGCAATGCGAGCTTCTACTATTCGTGAGAAAAAGGACTCGGTTGAATTACTGGGTACACTACAGAAAAATCTGCGTGAAATGCGACGTGATCTCGCTGTTCTTCAGCAAGAAGGACGCCCCACAGACGACTGTAAGATGGCTGACTTGTAAGGCTGCATAGTCAAGCCTACGAGCGAGATGAGAGCATGCCAACAGTAGTATTGTGACAACCCGCTTACGCACCGTTGCTGGCGGATCGTATATTGTCTGTGCTTCCTGCGGTGGACTACCAGTAGTTCGGTTTGTTGGGTAGCCCGTCTCAATGCAACTCACACACTCTGTAGGCCCCTCGCAAAGGTGCCGGGACTCTCGTCCCTATTTTATTTACTTCTCTCCTCAACTCTTGTGACTCTGGCCTGTTGTGACTAGCAGCCGCGAACTCGCTCTCGGTGGCGTGCTATCACTCACCTGACTCACCCTCTCAACTCTCGACCTATTGCCACGGTTCTTCTCTGGGCCTTCTTTCCCGGAATACACCGCTACTCAGTCTCACTCTTACGCTTCCGACTCGCCACGCGTCCGTAACTTATCGAGCGCCCACTCTCCGTGCTCCTGTCCTTCTAATCCACCCCCAGCACAACTCTGTCCACGCAAAGCACCGACCATTCGGGTCCCACTAAACCTCGCTTACTAAAGCCACTTGGATTACGCCTCTGGCGCCTACCCTACGGCTCGCAGCCACACAGTAACTCGGAGGGTCCTCTCCTCCTGGTCTCGTCGCCCGTCGCTGTCGTTGCCCCACGCGTCCACCAATGCACTGACGACTGATCGTCCGTCCAATCGCACCTCTTCTCTCTCTTCTCCTTCTCTCTTCTCGTGTTGGTCCTCTGACCGCTTCGTGCACCCTACTCACTACCTCGCACTTCTCCGTACTCGCAGTTACTTCGCCTCTGTGCTCGACTGCGCAAATCTCGAAGTGAGATTCAATCTGCTACTGCTCTCCTGCGCAAATCTCGAAGTCTCACCGCTCTCCGTCTTCACGTCGCTTTTCCTCAGCACGTTGGGCTCGTGTTGCGATCTTTGGTCACTCCTGATTGGCTCGCAACTCTCACGCGTCGCTTCTGGATACAAGATCGCATTTGTGCGGTCTCCGCTCGCCACACCAACTGACGCCATGTAACCGCTCACTTCACTGACGTACCCAATACCTCCCACGTGCTCTCTACTGCTTGACTCCTCGGCAACCACCGTCAATGCCCTATTACAATTTGTTGGGAAATTAAGAGGTTGAGGTCCATGTGGACCCCTACCATATTACATCAACTTTTGCAAATCATTTGACTCTATTATACCCGATTGTGGCTTAGAAATGGCGTGATAAAGGTCTGGCCGAACCTCTACGAAGGGCAATTCCACCCAGTAGCTAAAGGGTTAATAATTGTTGTGCTCCATGATTGTTATAGGAGGTCTTATCGCTACCAATGCGACTGACCGTGGCGTACCATTTCTCGGCTTTGCGCTGGAGACGAGGTAATCTTGGAGTTTTTAGGAGGAAGAACGCGCACTGGGATTATTGTGTTGGATTAGAGCTTTAGAGAGTGGAGAGTTTTGGAGAATTGCTTCCCCCAAGCGACCGTTCTGTTGTGTCAGTTCCACGGGATGGCACACTAAAAATAGGCTGTAAAGCGAGAAGGCATGACCTCGATGAAGCTTAAAAGTGGAGTTATCGATGAAGTAGATGATGTAAAGCACAGCCACGGAGGCCTGATGCAGGTCCAGAGACAGATTTGAGAAATTTTGTAAAGGTGGGTATCTTGACATCTACCGACAACATTTTAAGATATTGTAGTAATTAATGACAATGGGAAATGACGTAGCGATATGAGGTTCGGTCATGGGCGTGGTAACCACTTTACGACGGGAGATACGACGACGAACAGGATTGAGACCACCCGGAATGATTTTAATCGACGTCTCAGCTGAAAGTATAAAATTGATCGAACGGTTGCAGGATTCTTACGGACCAAGTTAGCGCTGTAGACCATTTGCTGACCTGTCT